TTTTTTTTTTTTTTTGCAAGAGTGCAATACTCTTGTAGTTTTATTCTTGTTGTTGCAAGATTCTTGCATTTTGAGTCTCGGTCTTGGTCTTGTTCTTGTTCTTTGTCTTGCTAAAAAAGTCTTGGTCTTGTTCTTGTCAATTGAGTACAGTCTTGGTCTCGTAGAAATGCAAGACCAAGCCAAGACCGCAAGAACAAGAGTAATTTTGCTCATCACTAGAAATTTTAGTACTAAATTTTTTCTTATAATGTCTTCTAATTCATTCTTATTATTATTTTTTTTAAATTTTACTATATTTTATTTACAAATTATAATTATAGACTGTATATTATAATAATGTATTATTTATTGATGTTTATAATAATTATTTTAACATCTTAACAATTTACGTAAATTTTTAAAAATATTTTTCTTGATAATTTAAAAAAATATTAATTATTAAGTTCGAATTGTAGACGAAAAGTCTAACCGTTATTCAAAAAGTAAAATAACATAAAATATTTACTAGACCAAAAGTTTTCTTCGCTTCACTCTCTTAGAAACTGTTAGAGGCATTGGAGCAATCTGGGCAGCGTTTGGGGATTATAACCCTCCCTGGAATCATAGAAATTTTTGAGTTATAGTCGTGTATCACTTTTTGTTTTNTTTTATAAAAATATAATATATTTTTCTTTTCAGAAGTTAATAGTTTACTATGTTCTATAATTTTAAATAAAAAAAAAATTATAGTTTTAAAGATATTGCGTGAGGCATAGTTGATCAAACGTCTTATTATATAGGGTGATTTGTCAAATTGTGTGTAAATTACACATGATAATAATATAATACTCTGTATAATAATTATAATATAATATAGTTATTGAGTATACCAAGATTATGTTTTAAGCCGTTACTTATTTTCTATAATGATGAATGAAATTACTAGAGAAATACAAGGAGAGGTGCCGTGGTGCATGTTGTTCGCTGACGATATAGGAAAAAAGATTTATTTAAAATCCATTCAAATAAACATAAATTTAAAATCTTTACTTTCTTCGCATCACTCTCTTAGAAACTGTTAGAGGCATTGGAGCAATCTGGGCAGCGTTTGGGGATTATAACCCTCCCTGGAATCATAGAAATTTTTGAGTTATAGTCGTGTATCACTTTTTGTTTTGCTTCTCAAGTTTTTTTAGATACCTTTTCTTAAAAATAGTTATACTCTAACCCTTCTCTCCATGAAAATGCCTAGGGATTTAAGGAGTAAGTGCAATGTGTCTGAATTAGGCGTGTACCTATGAATTTTTATAGTACTACCAATAATTAGAACGAACATTATTTAAATTATTTACATCTTCTTTTTCTTGACCAATAACAACATTAACAATAGCTTTGAGTATATATTCTTGCGGGCTGGCAGGTTCTAAATCTTTGATTAATTCATAAGCTTCTTCGTTATTCCCTTGTTTTAAATTATGAATAACTAAATTGAGTCTTGCTTCAGGTAAAATGTCTACAAGAGGTGGCAATACTTGTAATGCTCCTTCTCCATTTCGAAAAACAACCATATTATGTTTAATTAAATCTTCACAAAATTTAAAAGTTGAAGAACGCTTGGCCTATAATTTGTTACGTAGAAAATTATTGTCTTTAAAGATAACGGTAAAATGATATTTACTAGGCATATTTGGTAAAAAGTTTTAAAGATATAAGCGTATATTCAGTCAAAAACTTGAGGGTTTTAAAATTATCAATTTCATATTGACTCGTGGGGGGAAGTTCACGACGATATTTGGTTATGGTACTATCATACGATCCTAGTTTTGTGTTACATTTAAATTTGTATGTACGCCTTTGTTTAAAAAAGTCTTAAACAAAATAAAAATAGATAAGATTAAAATATTTAAATACTACCATGAAAATAGTATAGAAGAAAATTACTAAATTATAATAAGATAATAATTAGACAATCATTCCTATATCTTTCTTTAATCAAGTTAAGTAATATTTTAATATTGAAGATCTTTTTATATCAAACCAACGCATTTAAATTTTACACGTTCGGTTATCGAACTATCTAACTAAATAAGGATAACTAAGTTATTCTTATTCAATGTTAATGGTGCGAGATGAAATCATCTAAAGATGATAACCTTAGAGCTATTTGAGTTTTTTTTATTGTATATATACTTACTATAAGGTTTTTTAACTCTCCTTCTGCTGCCTTTCCATCATAAAGTCTGTACACGTTACAGGCTTTCAGATTTAAAACAATCATTGAATCTGGGTATTTTTTTATATATACATCTAATATTTCTTGAGATACATCATAAAAATCTAATTTGTAGTAGCAAAGGGCCATATACACATTAAGTGCTAACAATTTTCTAAAATTTAAGGTATTATACGACTTATACTTAAGTTTATTAAATAATTAGTTTTACCTATTGTTCATCATTAATTTTTTGTATAAATCTATTGCTTCTTGGTAATGTGATCTTAAATAATGTATAGCAGCTAAAGATAGTTGATCTTCAACAACATCAGCTAGAAGCTCATGAAATTCCATTAGCTTTTTTTCGTCACTTTGTTTGTGAGCCAAATGAAACTGTAGTCGAATTTTCACTTCGGAAAAATCAGATTTTTGTAATACCTTATAAAAAGTTCAAAATAATACAATAAAAATTGAAAAACAAGTAAAATGTAGCTGGTTAAAAAGAGTACTCACCTCATCAGCTTCTGGGTACATGCCTAAGTAAAAATAACAACATGATAAATTGGCTAATATTTGTTTTGTTTTTATTTGTTCACTAAGTTTTTTATAAATAAACATAGCATTTTTGTAATCGCCTAAATGAAAGTAACAATATGCAATCCATTGTTCTAGTTCTATATCATCCTTATTTTTTTCTAAATCAAACTAATATAAAAAAAATAAATATTTCGATTTTGGATAAATCAAAGTGATTAAAATGATTAAATTATTCAAGGAAGAGGGTTAATGGAGTTCGCCTTATGGTATTCATCATAGGGCGCAAGATACAATGGAAGCCACTTTAAAAACGTATTTACAAAATTATTGTAAGAGTTTTCAGTTAAATTTTTAATAAAAGAAAAAGTTTGAATTACATTTTTTATAAAATATTATAGTAAGATAAGTATTATCTGAAATACTCTGTTTCAGTAAAATTTTAAAATACGGTAGAGCAAATATAAATTTATTTTTCTTGCTAAAAATTATGTTTACTTTTAAAATTGTCAAAGCTCCTGTATAATCCCTTTTTTGTATTAAATCTTTGAACGATATTTTATGATTTGGATTGAAGTTTGTCTTTATTTGTTGTTGTTCAACTGCTGGTTTTACTCGTGATAACAACTAAATGAAAAATTTATATTTGTTTCGTAGATGCATATAAATTTATTATTAATATTATAGTTGTGAATAAACTTACCATAATAAGTTCAAAATTAAGTTAATGATATTTTAATAATTTAATAATGCACAAATATTTTTTTGTTTATTTGTTATGATTTAACAAGCATGGTATCTATAGTAACAATATGGGATTTTTTAGGGTCGGTTTAAAGTACGGCTAACAAACTATGAGAGGGTGCATATTGCTCATTCTTTAAATTGGCCCTGGATTCAAGTAAGCTGTATTTCTTTGTTCGTATAAAGGTAGAAACGAGAAAGAAAGTTTGAAGAATCACTGTACTATTATATGCTACCAATTTGGACTTATGGTATACAACTGTGGGGTTGTACTAGTAAGTTTAATATTGATGTTATTCAACGATGCCAAAATGTTGCATTCCGTACGATCATTTCAGCTTATCGGTACGATAGAAATGACATAATACAACGTGATATGAATTTGCCTATAGTATCAGAAGAAAGAAAGAGATTTGTAAGCAAACACTAGGTTAGATCAACAAACCATAGTAACACAACAGTCATTCAAGTTTTGGACAACTTCAAAGACATCAAACGCATTAAGCGTCATAATTCATATGATTTAGTTTAAAAAATTAGTTTTTAAATTAGGTAAAGGAGCCACCTCATTGAAGGCGTCACTCTACATATGTGTATTCATTATTAATTGTTAGAAAACTATGTTTCATGTACAATTATTGTATAATATATTTATAAAGATAATTTTATCGTTTAAATAATAAAGCCATTTGGTAGTTTGTAATATATATATATATATATATGCTATAAAACAGTGATATACCCTGAATATTTACACGGGAAAATCCTAAAATAAAAAAAACATTTTCAGTCACTTTTATCTCGGTGATTTATAAACTTAGATATAAATCTATCTTGAATGAAGTAATAAATTTATATAGATTTTAAACGAATGATTAATTATTTAATGTATCTATTACGTATATTTTAGTAGAGTAAAATATTTTTTCCGCATTAAATATGATTCGAACGGTTGATAAGTGATGTATTTAGGGGCTAAATATAGGACATAAGATTTTTTCAAAGTAATGTTTGAATTTTTCGTTGCCTCTTATTAAAATGTTTCTTGATAATTTTTTTTTTTTATCATCAATATATTGGTAATGCAGAGAAAAATTTTTGTTGATCAAAAAATATGTTGTGAGAGATGGCAAATTTTTGGGTATATTTCTGTTTGGTAGTTATCTGGGATAGCAATAAATGCCAACTTGATAATGGTAATTAAATATTGAAAAGAATCTAGATTTGTTATAAGTCGATAGATTCAAAGTTTTATGACTTATTTTTTAATTTATATTACAATAAAAAATTATAGTGGGATTTTTTACTATAGTACAGTCAACGAGTATTTTATAGCGTGATACCAGACGTAAGTCATGATTTTATTGTAATTATACTAATTATATCTTATTCAATACTAAATTTTAATGATTCTATGACTATAATATATATGTTTAAAATATGTAAAATAATTTGCATTAATACTTAAATAATATTCAGTAGTTTTTGACATTGACCTTGGAATTTAATGTAAGTATACATTAAAAAGACACGTTCAACTATAACCATAACCTCAAACTTCAGGACATGTTATCAACTTCCGGCGGATAAGAATTTTTATCGATGATTATAGTGTACCACTTTTGATATACAATTTTATAAGTGATTTTGATGTCTTCTTCTTTGGAACTTTTACATTGCGAAGTATTTATTATGGTCAGGGCGCTGACCTTAATATGAATGTTTTTTCAATTCAATTAAGTTGTGTTTTAAGGAATAAAATATTTTTGTTATAAAAAATGTATTATTCGTGAGAAAAGTTACCAATTTTTGTTTGTTTGTCAATTAATTATATAATTTAAATTTATCTTTTAATAAAAATTTATTTTTGTATTCCGATTAAATAACAATGGCTGAATGCAGTGAAATCAATTTAACCAATCAAGAGTTACAAATGTTGTCAGATTTAGATAGGTATGTACATAATATTATAAGCTTGTTAAAAAAGTTGCTATAATGAAAAAGTTCAAATTATTTTATTAAATTGAATGAACAATATTTGGAAAAGCGTTTTGTCTTTTGTGTGCAATGATAATTCCTTGCTAACTTATATAGGTTTTCCAATTTTGAAACAATTGTAGTTGTAAAGACACTGAATATACATAATATATAATTAATTTATATATAATGTATAATAATTTATTTGTGTAATAACATTATTACTATAACAGTAATTATAAAATAGAAATAAAACGTTTATATTTTTTGTAACACTAAGCTTTTTTTTTAGTCGAATGTATGGTTTTTTGAAATTAAATGATCCAAAAGAAGAAAAGAAAAAAACTCTTGTTCTCAAAGTATGTTTATAATTTTTAATAAATGTAATAGAATCTAGTTAATAACATAAATGTTGCCTAAAAATAAACTTTGTTTTAATTTTATTAAAACAAAGTTAACATTAAATATCACAAGTATTAATGTTGTAAAATTATTTTGATTTGATTTTACATTAATAATAATTATTTTATGTCACAAAATTTTTATATTTTGATTGAAATATAAACAAAATCATTTTTCCAAACCTGATAGATTTAGGTAATTATAGTTGTTAATATTTTAGTTACATTGGTAAAAAATAAAAGTTTTATCATGTTCATTAATGTACTTAAAAGGGTTTTGAGGTTCGCATCTCTTCGATGGAAAAGTAAATAAATGTATAATAATAGATAAAATATAGAATTGATAATTTTATAGAAAATTTATTTTATTATCTTTATAAAAAAAATAAAATCTAGTGTTATTTGGATTAAGTATAATGAGTAACCTGTAGGGATGAGCTAATATGCATAATAATATTAAATAATGACCGGAATATGCTATGTCAGATTTTTTGGTATTTGGTTTTCTTTAATATGATGTTTTTACTGATATTAAAAAATAATTGTATGAAAATTCAATAATCAGGATGGATTTATTATCAATCTTACTAATAATATAATATTATCATAGATAGCCTTTACTAATAGTGTAGTATTTTGTGAATAACATTATGTTTTTTGATGTCTTAGATCTCACTGAAAACACTTTTCATTCAGTCATCATTTTGTTAAATTTTTTTTTGAGTAATGATTGTCTTATTAGACTAAATTTAAAGTATATTTTTTATTTATTATTAATAAAAAAAATAATAAAAGAAAAAAAAATGTTTTTTTAATTTTAAATTAGCTATTTTTTATCCCTTTTCTTTTAAAATATTTTATATGGGTTGATAATTATTTTAGGACAAATATATATTGTTACAAGTGTTTTAATACATAGAGTAAGTAAGGAACACAGACAGGGTATAAGTACATTAGTAAGAGCTAAATCCACCTTCATTACATACTTTCTAACTACAAAACGCTTGTAATTCTTTTGGTAAATTGTTATCAACTATTAAAATATTAATTGTTAAAAATGACTTTTAAAATTTAAATATAATAAAAGCATATTTTTTTTATAAATAATAAAAAATAAACAAATATTCTTTTAATATAATTTAAGGCAATTATTATTTTTAAAAAATGTTTAATAAAATGCTATTGAATCAAATGTTATAAAAGTTGTTAGTTTAAGTTTAAGATACTATTTATATAATAATTTATATATATATAATACTTTATCACCATAATTGGACTTTTCTTATTTATATGTTTATACATTTTCTATTAATTTATAAATTTCTTAATAATTTAAATGTGTTTAAGTTTTCAAGAATTGTTATATTATTTAGAATGTTTACAGATATATCCATTTCTTCATGACACACAAAAAAACTATATGGTAAACTAATACCTTGTTATCAAAACTCAAAATTAGTTTTATAACATGTAACCATTGTTTATAAATTGTACTATTTATAATTAATGATATAACATGTGAAAAATTATAATAATTTTTATTTTAAATAAATCACAAATTATGCAAAACTAGTATTATGCTAATATTAAATTAATAATAATACCATATAATTAAAAATATTGGTAACACAATAAATTAGGTATAATTATTTTTATTTCATTGATATCAACATTATTATTAATACATTTTGGTTACTTTTTTTTAATTAATGTTAAAAAATATGGCCTAAATGGTTAGAATAAATATAAGTTACATTTGAAATTAAAAAGTACATTCTATTAGTCAGTATATTGCAGTATATTTATATAATATATTTTTGTTTTATAGGCAATCAAATATCTTGAGAGAATGTTAATGCAGATGCATAAAGAAAAAACAGAAGATGAGGCTATAAAAGCTATCAATATTGATTCTAAGACATATTGCAAGTTGGGTCATTTTCATCTTTTACTGGAAAATTATTCCAAAGGTAAAATATTATTTGTATAATTTATTAGTAAGTTTAATTTTACTAGAAAATTTTCCTTTTTAAAATAACTCAGTTTTAGTCCACATTATTTTTATCACATTTAGTGAAGCTTGACGATTAAAGCAAAATTTTTATTTATGGAACTTAATTTAGTGTAAATACTGTTTAATAATTTACAAATCATGTCACCATATTTGTTTAAAAGATTCCATATTTATTATCTGCTATTTAGTTGCCTAATGACTCAATGTATATACAGAAAGTCAAGTAAATATTTGGACATCAAAATAATAATAAATAGTAATTAAATATTATTATTAATAATAAAAAAAAAAAAAAAAAAAATTTCCTCTCAATTTGCCATTATCTTAGATGTCTTTAAATATGGTTTAATCACTTATTCAAATGCTGTTGACCATACTTAAAGATCTGTAAAATAATGGCAATTTGAGAGGCAAAGTATTTTTTTCTAGAAAATGTCTAAATATTTATTTGACATAATGTAGTAGATTTTTATCCATAGTTTTATGTTCAATTTTTCATTATTTTTTTAAGTTAATGTTATAATATAATAATTAAAAATAAAACAATAAAGATAACTAGATGTCAACTAATATGAAATCTCTAATAATTAATAGTTATTTTTACAATTTATTTTCAACTCTGATTAACATTTCATTTATTTAAAAAAAATTCATAAAACTGTTAAGCCCATATTTATTTTATAGCTTCACTAAAAAAAAAAAAAAAAATTGATAGTTAGATTTTATATACTAGTTTTAAAATTAATCTAATAAATCATTAGAGATTATTGTTCACTTATTACATTTCTTAAATGTGTATTTTAATATTATTCTGTATACTATTTTTAGTTACATTACAAAGTTTAAAATAGTAATCAACATTTTTATTTATAATATAAATCTAATAGTTTATATAATTATAAAATAATATAGTTAAAATTTTTATTATCATTATTTGTTTAGCAATGTCTGCGTATCACAAATACTATAATAATGCAGAAAATAACCATTGGAAAGATACAAATTTTTTGTATGGATTGGGCCTTGTATACTTTCATTACAATTCATATCAATGGTAAATTTGAGTTCTATTAATTTTATTGGGTGTTGGGAAAATTAATAATATGTTTAAAAAAAATTAAATTAGATGTAAAAATTAAGTTAAATCACAAAACTATGTTATTTGAAGATTTAAAAAACCTTTTTAAATAAAAAAAAAGTAAAATAATTAATTAGCTAAGTAATTAGCTAATAGAAATTTATTTAGGCGTTTACCCTTAATTGATGTTCTACATTATTTTATCATTAAAAAATAAAAAAATAATTGTAAAATTACATTATAATATAATGATAAGTAAGCTAAATATTTTATAGCCAATTAAAAAAAATTTGTAGATTTTATTGAACTACCCTAAAGATATATTTTTATACGAAATGATTATTTTCTTTTTTGCTTAATAAAATTATTCCTATTTAAAGGTGTCAAAAATACATAGTGTGTATTTGAGACAATTTTACGACGTAGGTTTGTTAGGCTTAAGATATAAAGTGTATTAAGGATATTGGTAAAAGTCAATTTTTTCATTTGTGATTTTTTAAATTGATTTAATCGGTTAAAGGTGTCAAGGTAGCGAAGTGTAAGTGAAAATTTGAGAATTTAAGATAATTTTTTTTTACAGTAGTTTGATTAGGGACTAGGTTTTTATACTTTCAATAAGCTGTATAAATTTCATTAAAAACGATCAAATGGTTTTTGAATCACAGTGGTCACTGATCACTGAGAGGGTTCCAATAAATATAGGTATAACTTGGTTATATTAAATAATGTTGGACATAATATAATACCTTTGTATAATTTGTTGAATAAATTTAATTAAACTACTGAAAACAAAAAAAATTAAAATATTTATTTTTCTACCCCTTAATAGTTCATTACAATTTTTTTGTTTGTTAACCATCAATTAACGATAAATTAAAAAAGGAAACTTAAATTAAAAATCTATAAATTTAAAAAAAACAATTGTCCACAGACGGGGCTAATTTGTTTTTGCCACAGTTCAAAATTTTTCTATACCTGTTAAATTTTGAAGATACTTTAAAAAATTTCTCGATTTAATGTACCATAACCAACCGTTGAAATAGTTAAAATATTTAATTTCAGTATAGAATGTTTTATTATAATTTTATTTTAGATTTTCTTCTATTAAGTAAAATTAATAAATAAATAATAAATTTTATTTCAATTATGCACTTATATCAATTTTTGTAAAAAAATTGTTTTAAATCTTGCATTCTAATTATTTCTTATAAGAAATTTAATTTAGTAATTTCCCTCATTATTATATTTAAATAAAAAATATTATTTTCTGGTTTTATTTTTTACGATTTATTACATTTTTATTTCCAAGAAGACATCATTTTTTTGTATATCATAAATTAGGTTATCTACAATTTAAGATCAAATAGTAATAGAATTAAATTATTTATTCTATTGTTTTCGCCTATGTAGTTTACTTATTGTGCCAGTATTAAAAATATAATATTTTCTACTCATGGCACTAACCCAAAATTAAAAATGTTACCCTTTACAGAGTTTAAATAAATTCAGAATAATATTTCACTTTAATGTTATAAATAAGCATTTGTCTAAAAATTTTGGCTTCAACTTAATTTTTTGATTGTATTTTGTGAAACTTGATATTGTGATCCTAAACTTAAATTATCTTCACTTTTTTAAGGTTTTCATTAAAAGGTTTTTATTAATGATAAATTTTATCGCAGTTTTAGATTTTTTTTTAGTAATGTTTAAATTAAGTTTAAGTTTACACGATTACACGTTTTTCAAAGTATGTCCTTAAAAATTATTTTCTTAAATTTAGAAAAAAAAATTATCTATTACTGAGACATAAGATTGGGTAAAGGATTCTAATGTACAAACATAACGAAATATGTTGAATAGAAACTAGTTTTGACCCTTGAAGGATAAATAATAAAAAGGGACCGAATGAGAGAACCTTGAAATTATTTACCTGTTTTTGTTAACAACATAATCGTTCAGCACTTATTTTAAAATTGCTGGTTACTACGAGATCAAAAATATAGAATTTTAATATTATTTGTATGATCTAGCAAACTTGTGAGTAATATAAGTAAGAGTAACAGTATTAAGTTTAATTTTTAACTCGACGAGTAAGTACGAGCAGTTGACTAGATAATTTTTGATTGATGAGTGGTTAAATAACTGTGAAATGAGGTAATCTTTATAGGAAAAAAGGATAGTCAAGCGGATATACCGTCATCACCGGACATAGATTTGGTAACCACTGAAGTGTCTCACTCATCGACTGCTGCCGAGGTTAGCGTCCCACAGGTCAATGTTTAGAGCCGCTGTGGCCGCTTGCCACTACATCGTAGTTTTTACGTTCATGGGCCATGTAGTAGGGATGCGCGTGGACGTCGCCGCCGTCGTTTCCCTCTCACCCTCTTGTCATCGGTTCTTTAACCCCAGCCCATCCCTACCCTATACTATTTTGTGGCGGCCACTGCCTTATTGAAAGACCCTCTTTTACTATAATAGCGGCAACTGCGAGTTGTGACGACAATGTACTATACATTCTACACTGCCACAGCAGCGCAACCTGCAACTGTACATTAGTTATTTCATTCGGATTTTTGTGTGTGTTTTATTATTATTTGTTTTTCCGTGTTCAGTTATCGTAATTTCTATTAGTGTTCATTGATTATATTTAAAAATAATCGAAATCTATTTGTGTTCATTTTGTTTATTGTGTTATTAAAAAATACCGTAATCGTAGTGTGCCACCGCATAGTGTTCATAATAATTTTTGCTGTGTTCGTCGATGTTATCTCATCAGGTAAACTATGACACACATCTGCACTCGGTAGTTTCCTGTGTCCTCTCTCCTACTCGTCTGCTCTTCATCATTTAGCTTGCGGTGCATCGTCTTGTGAATGCAATTGTATAATATCACGTCATTCTTTAATAGTTTAGATCTAGTGGCTGTCTCTCAATCACGAATAATCGCTAATAGTACGCACACGTTGATGTGATTACTGTTGCATTTAAGTATTGACTTCAATGCAATTATCAATATATTGTTTATTTTTTGTTTTATCGAATTATTATTTTATTATATATCTACTATTTTTTGTTATTAATAAATTTACAAACTATTGATACCTACTACACAATATTATTTGAACTTTAGTATACCAATACTTCTCATTTTTTTTTTAGTAAATAACTAAAAAAAGTAATGAATATGTAGTAACTTATTTATTTACTTAAATTTTTCTATTTTAGATGTTATTTCTATAGTGTTTTTAATTTATAATTAAGTTTTAGGGGGCAAGTTGAAAACATTGTGATGGTGTTAGTCTTTGTATCTCACCATTTTGTGAGCAATTGTCATATACCCTCAAAAACTTGTTGCACTATTTCTACCTATTGAATTTATTAAAATTAATATTAAAAAAAAAGATAGTTTATTTTAAAATACTTTGTATTGGAAGCTATAAAACCAAAAAATAGTCAAAGTTTTATGTAATTTTATTAAAATATATGGTTTGAAAACCTCATCTCAATTTTGAGACTAGTGACTGTATAAAACAGATAGAAAAAATGCAATTATTTTTTCATAAGTTAATAAAAAGGTCTAAGTGTTAAATTTTGTGTATGTTCATAATATCATAAATATTTCTTGGTTAATATTATAAACTGATAAATGTAATATAGCACAAGAACTCTCCTGCCTTAAAATTTTAATTAATTGGGAGGATATAAATCATTTATAAATAATTAAAACAACTATTATTTATCTATTGTTTTATCATTATCTATCTAGTGGTTTTTTTTAATTTTTGATTGTATCATATTTTTTCTGTTTATAGAACAGTTGGCTAATGTTTTAGTTAATTTTTGAGAATATTAAACAATTCCTTGTAACTTTTTGTTGATTGTATTTTACCTTAATTCATACAATAAAATTATATTGCTTTAGGGCCAAAAATTTTTTTCAAAAATTACTCTACATTGATCCAAATTTTCAACGAGCCAATGAAGTACATCTTAGATTGGGTTTGATGTACAAAGTGTTTAATGAATGGGAAACGGCTTTAAAACATCTTAAAAATGCATATTCAGATGTCAGTCTCAGTACATTTAGTAAATTAGAGAGTATGTATTTCATGTAACTGTAATAAACAATATATTTTAATATATAAAATATTTTATTGTAGTCAGTTTTCATATAGCCCATTTATATGAAGTGCAGGGTAAATATAAATTGGCTAAAGATCAGTATGAACAGCTTTTAAATGATCCAAAAACTACTGTTTATTTACGTGCTGATATTTGTAGACAATTAGGTAAGCATGTTAATGAAAGTTTTAAATTTGAAATATTTATTTTTCCAATATTTTAATTGATTAAATAATTATAATCAATTTTTAGGATGGATGTACCACAGTTGTGAATGTTTAGGAGAAAAAAATCACCGTGAAACAGTTGCTATTCAATATCTACAGAAATCAATTGAAGCAGACAATAAATCAGGACAATCACTTTATTTGCTTGGTCGCTGTTACGCTAGTGTTGGAAAAGTTCACGACGCATTTATTGCGTATCGTAATTCTGTAGAAAAATCAGAAGGAAATGCAGACACATGGTGTTCAATCGGGTATATATATATATATATTTATAATGAGCTTTGAATTTCATTAATTAGTAGTCATCTGTCATCCATGACTACTAATTAATAATAATATAAATAATAATTTATTGTATTTTATTTTTCTTTCATTTTATTTTATAAATAAATTTATAGTTGCTATAATAATGACAATGTCGTATATCTAAAATTTTTCAAAAAATGACATTTTTACATCATAATTTTCTTTATACCCTTATTTATAATATTATTTATTGAAGTTTTTATCTAATATAATTTTTTTTTCGAATTGATGAAAGCAAAACCAAAAAAATTAGAGTTACTAATTACTAAAAATTAGTAAATAATATTTGGTTTCTTAAAATTCATTATAATTATCTAATTTTATGAATTAAATTGTATAGTATTAAAATATTATTATCCTTCAAGATATTTACCTTTCAATAAAAATGTAATTTATATTTAACAAAAAAGTAAGAATTAAAGTAATCAGTAAAAGTTCTAATAAAGTAATAGTAATTTTTCCTTAAAATTTTGTAACATAAACCTAAAGTATTTTAGTTGAATATGATAGCTTAAAAAATTCTTTATTCTTATAAACCAGTTCCTAAAAGAAGACTGTGTACCTAATTTCTAGTAAATACAGAGTACTAGAAACATTAATTAATTCATATCTATAATATCATAATATTGGCCTGTTAAGCTATTTTTTAATAGAATCATATTAATTAATTTTAGGGTTCTATACCAACAGCAAAACCAGCCCATGGATGCATTGCAAGCATATATATGTGCAGTACAATTAGATAAAGGACATAGTGCAGCTTGGACTAATCTTGGTAATTTATATTATTTATATTTTTGCTTTATTTATTATTCATTATTTTTAATTTTATAGGCATTTTGTATGAAAGTTGTAATCAGCCTAAAGATGCACTTGCATGTTATGTGAATGCAACAAAAGGTGGTAATGTTACAAATGATTCATTGATGAAAACTTCGATAAGTGTCCCAGCATCAAATATGAATCCTAATCTTGGTCAACGTATAAAGTTTTTACAAACCCATTTATGTAATGCGCCGATGCCTAGTATTACTAGCAAGTTAGTGTTAAGTTGAATAACTAGAATATGAGGGTCTCAGAAGTCAAGTTGATTAACTTCACTTTTTTTTTAAATAATTTTCTTTCAAATAATGGCAAATTTATGGAGAGGGTAGCAAAACAAATAACCACAAAATAATTAAATAATAACTACAGATAATTTTTATCTGCAACCCTAATATCTGATTTTTGATTGCAAGTATTATTTAAACTACTATGGTTAAACTGTTCTGTTTATGGTAAATCATAAATCCTGACCATGCTATAATATTTTTACTAACCCATTGATAACTTAAATCTCATGTATACAAAAAATCAATTTAATAAATCATGTTTTAATGGATGTGATAAATATGATGTTACCTTCTATATTTTTATAAATTGTTGCTGGAAACTAAAAATTGTATTCAATTTTTTAAATTTTATTTGCTATAAAATAACTCTTGTGGACATACCAAGTTTGTACATTATTAAAAAAGAAAGTTAGTAGTAGTGTTGACTATATTAATAAAAAGTAAATAATTTATATTATTTTATTTTGCTATTACTTTTTAATTATTTTAAATAAAACCAATTTATATTTAAAATATGAATGTAAAAAAAAAACTGTTATTCAATTTTATTGTTCAAATTTTTTAGTGTTCATTAAAATATGTTTCATATTTAACCATAAATTGAATGTTGCTCCCCATAATGTAATCACTTTCTAATCTATTTATAGTATTATTAACATATTTTGAATAATAATAATAAACACAGTTGGATTAAAAAAAAAGAATACTATTGAAAGAAAGTGCTTTGAAAAAATGTAAAGTTGAACGGCTTGATTCGCCTCATATCTTAATAAATTACGGCTTTTTATTTTTAAAGTTAATCAATTAGAATTAAATGTCAGTTTATGATTCTTTATTAATATTATTATGAAATTTTTATTATTAGACGGCGTCAATTACCATCTATTGAGGAGGCTTGGAATTTACCAATTTCAGCTGAAATGTCATCAAGACAGCAACAGCAACAACAGCAACAACAACAACAACAACAAAAGACTGCACAGCCACCACCATATAATTCAAACAAACCAGATACTCAAGTTGAAAGTATCACTAAAAAAATTAAAGTAAAGTTTTAAAAATCGGTTCTAAGTAAATATTTTTATTAAATAATTATTCAACTTTAGGTTGAACCACGATTAGCTTCTGGTGAAAGCTTACAGTCTTTGCCATCATATTATCTTAGTAGTCAACAAATTCAAGTTATGAACGTTCTCCAGCAAAATTCAAATAATTTATCAAGTCAACAACAAGTAATTTCTTTAATACTTAAAACTTAAATTATTATTAAGTTTATATTATACATAGTATACATTAAGTTTTAACTATATGTTTAATTTTAATTAATACAGGCAATGCTTCAACAATTACAAAATAATTATCGAATGATGCAACAGCATCAACAACAAATGCAATTAAAACAAAAAAGTGGAATAAATCAACCTGAACAGTTGCACAATTCTTCAGTTATTAAACAGTTTCCTGAACAGAGTAGAGGTGATTTAAAATCAACTGAGGATAATATAATTGAAAATACAGCAGAAAATCATGAGCTTGATAGAGAATTGCAGGCTTTATTATCTCAAAAAGAATTAACTACCTCGTTAGCTGAAGATTTGCTCAAACAATTTGGATCATCTGATGAGTTAAACAATATTAAAATGGAATCAAATGAAATAACTGCTCTTACAGCTAAACCAGGTTTTTATTTATACTGTTTAAAAATTTTTTTAGCTTTGATGCAATCTGAGAAGGTAATAATTTTACCATGATGTGTTTTTTTTTGTGTCTGTTGCCACTTTTTCTCAGCTCTCACTGGACCGATTTTCATGAAAAATATGTCAAAAGATTACAAATTCTATCTAGTTGAAGACATTACCCTTAAAAATTGAATAAAATTCCCTTGTTCTCCGTAAATGGGGGAAATTTCCAAAAAAATTTAAATGTTTCAAATTTGTATATTTTATCATTTTTTTCACATCTTTTTCTTAAAACTACCATAACTTTTTTTAAAATTAACAAAACAACTAAATTTTTTTTTATTGAATCCTTAGATATTTCCCTTTTATTCAATATCTTTTTTTGAAAATCTAACACTTAACCTGCTCACAGGGAAGGATTTAAAATAGCATATTTTTTACAAAAACTAACTTTTGAAAATGTTCCGGAAATACTGCATCTTTTAAATGTATATCAAATTAAAGCTTATGTCATGTACTATAAAATGAAAAACATTTTGTCCAGACACCTTATCTTCTACATGTAAATGGCTGCCATAGTTAAAAATTCTATTTTTGTGTTACAATTTTCAATTTTTAATTTTAGCTTCGATGCGAAGCTGAGAAGGTATTGGTTTTACTAAGATGTGTTTTTTTTTTTTTTTGTCTGTTACCACTTTTTCTCAGCTCTCACCGAACCGATTTCTTTCAATGATACGTCAAAAGATCACAAATCGTATCTAGTCGAAGACATTACCCTTAAAAATTGAAAAAAATTCCCTCGTTCCCCGTAAAAGGGGGAAACCTCCAAAAAAATTACAAATTTAAAAATCGCTAATTTTCGAAATTTTTTCAATTTTTTTTACTTAAAAGTGCCATAACTTTTTCAAAAATAAACATATCAATATAATTCTTTTTTATATAGATGCATAATATCATTACCTTTCATTTGGTATATTTTTTTCATAAATTTAACCCTTAACCTGCCCACAAGGGGGGATTTAAAATGACAACTTTTTCACAAAAAATTAATTTTTTTAACTTAAATTTTGAAAATGTTCCGGAAGGTCTGACACTTTTATATATATCTTAAATTAAAGCTAATGTAATATGCTTTATCATGAAAAAAAAAAATTTCGGACTTTATCTTATCTTCATGGTGAAAATGGCTACCGAATGCTATTTTTGTGTGAAAATTTTCGATTTTGTATTTTCCATTTTTAACTTTATTATGCTATAACTTTTTGAAAAATGTATGAATCATTACAATTTTTTTATGAGAAGTAGTATTTATATAGATCTTTCATTCGACATACTGTTTTTTTAAATCGGACCATTTCCCTAAATACAGGGGGGATTCAAAACATAAAAATGCATATAGAAAGTAGAACTTTTTCAACTTAACTTTTGAAAGTGTTCCGGAAGGTCTGACACTTTTATATATATATTAAATTAAAGCTAATGTAATATACTTTATAATGGTAAAAAAAAATTTCGGACTTTATTTTGTCTTCATGGTGAAAATGGCTACCAAATGCTATTTTTGTGTTAAAATACTAGATTTTATTTTTTACATTTTACATCAATACAATTTTTATGAGATAATATTTATATCCCTCTTTTATTCGACATACTTTATCTTAATCAGGATATAAATAAAGAAATAGCAGATCATGTAACTTTTGGAATAATCAACTAATTTTTTAAAACTAAACACTATCTAAAGATTTGCATCGAAGCGTTTTTTATGATAGTGATTTTAATCACTGTCAGATATCATTATACTTGACCCAACTATGCCATGTCACCACTGTGCCACTATGCTGGGTTTTTTATTTAATTTTAAATTGCTAGAACTTTTTGAATAATGTATGTATCAACACAAATTTTTTTTTTCTAAATAAATTATATATACCTCTTTCAATTTTTTAATTCAATTTTTCTTTATAATGACATCTCTTAATTAAAAATTTATGTAGTATTTTGTGAACACAGGTTAAAAACCTGTAAGGATAAAGATATACACATTTAACATACTTTTAATTTAAATTGGACAATTTCCCTTTATACAGATGGCGTTCAAAACTTGAAACATACATATAAAAAGTAGAACTTTTTCAACTTAACTTTTGAAAATGTTCTAGAAATACTGCGTCATTAAACATATATCAAACTAAAGCTTACAAGAAATACTAGTTAAAAAAAAAAATTTGTCCCGACATCTTTTCTTCTATAGGAAAATAACCTTCGAATTTAACAAAAAAAATGTAATTTTTATGTAAAAATCACTGTTTAATTTGAAATAATTGAATACATAAAACTGCCATAACTTTTTGAAAAATTAATAAATTAAAATTTTTTTTTTTTTATATAGAATAAAGTTTATAAAACATAAAAAGTTAAACTATTTAAATTTTTTTGCTTTTTTAAATCAAAAGATTAACTCAGCTTAAATTGCCAATTTTATTAACCGACAAAAGCGATAAACAGTTTCCGAATCGGGAAACATTATTGTCTTTGACAGTTAGGATACCAGGTATGAATCCGCCTGTGACAATTAATATTTTGCATTTTTTTTAAGTTAATTATTATCTCATTTAGATTCATTAACTTCAATAAATATCAAGGATTCCCGTAAATGGGGGAAATTTCCAAAAAATTTACAATTTTTGAAATCGGTAAATTTCGTCATTTTTTCTTAAAATTACTATAACTTTTTCAANAAAATTTCTTATTCCTGTTAATATTATTTTGTGTTTTTTTTTGTGGCTGCAATTTATTTTTACAACCCTCAATTAGCCTACTTTTTTCAACAATATGTCAAATTATTACAATGCTTTTTTATTTGAAGATACTACCCTCAAAAATTGATAAAAATTTTTTTAATTAAATAAAAAGTAGCTTAACCAGCTTTATCCATACAAACAATTAAAATCATTCATTTCTAATATTTTTAATGTATTTATTATCAAATTAAATTTGATATGATAAAAGTATTCAACTGCAATAGTAAATAATTTTACTTTGTGATTTATTAATTTTTTAACTCTAATTGTGTGAGTTACTAATAAGTCTATAATATTCCAAATATTTTAGTAACATGTTGCTATATAAAACACAAATCTAAAAAAAAATTGATTTTTAGTTACACCTGAATTTAAAAATCAATTTTTACAATTATAATCAAATTTTATAATATGCTCAATTGAGTAGATCTTTTTAACAACTGTTAACAAAATTGTAAGTTGAGCTAAAAGTTATGGTAAATTCATTTTTTTTTTTTACTTTCCCTTATAGGACCAAAATATGTAATTTAAAAATACTTAAAATAATTAATTGTACTTTTAGCATATTAAAAATCAAAATCAATAATAATTTGAAAATAATAAATTATAAAAATTATATAATTAAAAAATTTTATATTATACTTTTGAATCTAAAAAGTACTAATCTGAATATAATTAAGGAAATAGAAGTTGATTTTTTAATTATCCACCAATTTCTTAGAATTTAACTATCTACAGATTTGCATTAAAGCGTTTCTTATGGTAGTGATTTTAATCACTGTCAGATTAAATCTATACTGGACCCAACTATGCCGCAACCCCACTTTGCTGGGTTTTTTTGAAATTATTTTTATTTTCATATTTTACTTTTATTTTTAGTTGTTAAAACTTCTTCATATCCAGTGACTAGTAATTCAGAAATATCTGAGCAAGTAATTAGATATCAAGATGCAACTAATATAGAATCAGAATATTCATTAGATTTGTCTGCTGAAGACGTTTTAAATATTGCGAAGTATGATATTTGTATTATTTAAAAATTTTTTTGATAATTTACTTATTTTTTAACTATATAATAAAATTTATAGTTGTAATTTTACCAAAAATTTTAGATGTTACTATAAGTTACTTTTAAAATATTTTTTTATTAATATTATATTATGTTAAATTTCTTACTGTTTTATTACTATTTCTTTTATTTTCTAAATTCATTTTAATATATTATGTGTAGAAAAGAAACTGGAACTGGAATGTGGAATAGAAACATTTTATCTCCAAATGGACCGCCTCCTACACCTCCAGATCCGCCTCCTCAGCAATTGACACGTGAACAATTACTTCCATCTACGCCATCTGTAATGTTAGAAAATAAAAAAGATGCTTTTAGCCCACGTTTGCAGGAATTTTGTTTAAAAAATCCTATTGCAGTTGTTCGGTGTTTAGGAGCTGCTCTTAAATTAGGTAATATTACTAATGAAATTATAATATTCTTATAGATTATTTTATGTCCATTTTAGTTAATTAATGATCATAATATTTGTAGACTTGGGATTATTTTCAACTCGAACTTTAGTAGAAACCAACCCAGATCATTCTGTTGAGGTTCGAACTCAAGTAATGCAAAATAGTGATGATAATTGGGATGTCAAACAAAATAGAAGGGGATGGTCTTGTATTAGTCATAGATCACATACAACTATTGCCAAATATGCTCAATATCAGGCTTCTAGTTTTCATGAATCAATAAGGGTAAATATTTTTATTATTCATTATTATTTCTTTTTATATTACATAAAATGAAACAATAATACAATAAATGCGTATTACACCCATTTTAAATTCAAACAATCTTAGAAATGTATTAAGATAATATTTACTTTAACATTTTCAGTGATGTATAATTCTTGTTTAACTTGAGTATGTTTAATTTAAAATATTGTCTTAGAAACATGAACTTCAATTAAATTTTTTTTCATATTCAAACATAAAATATCAAATCTTTGTTTTTAATACATTAGGTTAAGTTTAAATAATTTAAACAATGGTTCAATCAACTCCATGAAATCCTGTAGTAGTTATTGTCAATGTCAATAGTTGATATTAGCTGGTATAAAGTAAAATTAATAAAAAATTGATCGGAGTTTTTGTTTTTATTCTTACATAATCTTTGTGTTACATGATTCATAAAAGATTAAAATAGAAACAGTTGATATGTTTAAAACAGTTTTCAATTATACTTATATTTTAATAATGATGTTTAAAATTTGTGAAAGTTAAAAAAATAGCATTAAAATTTACATTTTACATTAAAATTGAGCCCTATATAGTTCATTGAACTAATTATAATAATAATCTGTTCATATTAATGAAAAATTGTAGATAATATTCATCATTAATTACACTATTTATCTAGCATATGCCATTTTATTGTTAATTTTTTTTTTTTTAATTGAATATGTATTACTCCCAGGATGAAAAAGAAGGTATTACAAGTGTTCATTCAGTTCCTAATTCTAATTTATCTGATTCTGATTCTAAAGATTCAATGACTATGGAAAAGAAACGAAAAAAAAATATTGTAAGCAATAAACAATATTTTTAAAAGTTACTTAAATTAAATAATTATGTTATTTTATTTATTAATAATTATTTATTTATCAGTACTTACCGGGTGTAAAACCTCCTCCTGGAAGTAAAATGCTCAAATTCGGTACTAATGTTGATTTGTCAGATGAAAAAAAATGGAGGCCACAGTTGCAAGAACTTACCAAATTACCTGCATTTGCACGTGTTATATCTGCTGCTAACATGTTATCACATGTGGGACATTCTATTTTGGGGATGAATACTGTACAATTATACATGAAAGTAAGTTGAATATTTATTAGTACTTCATTTATATTTATTGAGTTTTAAATAGAAGCTAAACAATTTTACGATAATAGTGTTACATTAATGTTAAATGTATGAGAAAATCGAAATAATTATACAGATATTATAAAAGTAAGGAAACAGGTCAGTTTTTACAAATGAGAACATTAGAAACCTTTATTCTTACCAAACACCCTTTATAAAATTGTGTTTTTAAAAATATGAACTATAAAATAAGCCAAGATTAAGTAAATTTTATACTTTTAATTTCTTTCTATGTTAAATTTTGAAGAGTTTAAGAATTTTATTTTTTTAAGTAGTCCCTCAAGATAATAAATGAAAATTAAGCTATTGCCAATGCATATTTATAATTTTCATGTTATCATTCATCTTTCAGTAAGAATATTTTTAATTGAAAAATTGAAATAATTTTTAATATTTGAATAAGATAATTATTGTCAAAAAAAATGTAATATATTAATTTAATTAACTTTATCCTTAAGAATTTGTTAATAAAATTTTTTGAGATATCCTAAAAAATATAATACAGCTATTTTTAAATCAATACAGTAAAGGTAGATCAATTACCAATTTATTTACCCTTTTGATAAATATATATTAACATTGACATAATATTTTTAGTTTATATAATAAGTGTTAATGATAAAATAAATAATAAAATTTTAATAAAAACGTATCTATTAAATAGGTCCCTGGTAGCAGAACTCCTGGTCATCAAGAAAATAATAACTTCTGTTCTATCAATATAAATATTGGACCTGGAGATTGTGAATGGTTTGCAGTACCTGATGATTATTGGGGTGTTGTTAATAATCTTTGTGAAAAGTAAGTATTAATTGAATTTTCTTATTTTGTAGTATATTAGAAGAATCTTTTATTCAATAAGAATTTTTTCATTTTCTTATTTGTTTTGTTATTGAATATTATAAAATAAACTGATTTTATAATTTTTTATTTAGTTAAGTATAAAAAAATTTCGAAAAATCGATTAAAAATTTGTATTACTTACTTTATATTTATTTTATTATTCTTATATTATTCTATTTAAAAATAACTTATATAAATATAAACAAAAAATTAAGTATATATGTATATTTTTTTAGGTATGGTTTAAATTACTTACATGGTTCTTGGTGGCCCTTAATTGAAGATCTACTTGCAGCTAATGTTCCTTTGTACCGATTTTTACAAAGACCTGGTGATATGGTTTGGGTTAACTCAGGTTAAACATTTAATAATATTTTAAAAAAACTTTAATGACCCTGAAAATTATACTCATAATTAATTTTATCAATAATTTCTATGACAGGTTGTGTACATTGGGTACAAGCTGTTGGTTGGTGTAATAATATTGCTTGGAATGTTGGTCCTTTAACAGCAAGACAATATCAACTGGCAATAGAACGTTATGAATGGAATAAGCTTCAAAGTTATAAAAGTATTGTTCCTATGATACATCTAAGTTGGAATTTAGCTCGAAATATTAAAGTATCAGATCCAAGGCTTTATAAACTTATTAAGTATGTAAATAGTTTTATTTGTTAAAATATAAGTCTAATTTATAAATTATACTTTTATTTATAATTTATAATAATTAGGACAGAGAAGTTATATCCATTGTTTTTATATAGCTTTCAATACATAATATTATAGCTCAACAATTGTCTTTTATTTCTATTATTATTTTTGAGGAGTAGTTTGTAAAAATAGTGCAACAATTTGGTGATATTTTATGTGATAATTTTTTGTTTTTCTTTTATTAGAATGTGCTTAATGTGTTCTTTACGACAATGTGGCATTACAATAGAATTTATAAAAACAAAAAAAATTCAAATTCGTTTTCATGGAAGAGGAAAAAATGAAGCTTCACATTACTGTCATGATTGTGATGTAAGTCAATTGAAAACCACCCTCTTTAAAAATTAAAAAAAAAATTAGATTTTTCATAAACAATAATTGGTTAACAGGTCGAAGTTTTCAATATATTATTAATTCGAGAACAAGAAAAGAAACATTGTGTATATTGTGTTGTGTGTGCAAAGAAACAATCTCCTAATTTGGAAGGGTTTGTTTGTTTAGAAGAGTATAAAATGGCTGAACTCATAGATATCTATGATCATTTTATACTTCATACTCAACCTTTACCTTCTGCACCAAGTATTAATAGTTCTGTACCACAAATGACGTAAGTTTCTATGATAAGTCTTACAAAATAGATGTATCCATTTTTATAAAATGTAATTAAACCATTCTTTTTTTTTTAAATATATATATAATTTGTATATAAAATAACAAATAATACTTTAAGTTATTGACAAATATTAAGCAATATTTTGTACCAATTTGTTTGAATATATATTGAGTTTATTTATATCATTTTTATACATAAAAACTTTTTTATAGAACACTAATAAATGTTAAATAAAAAAATTTAGTTACTTTGATTATTGATTTTAATAATAAGATTGAACTATGTTTGAAATTCAAAATAATGCTAGTATCGATTATATTTACTAATATTAAGGCAATTTAAGTTAGCAAAATTTATTCATATTATCAAAATTGTTCATAATTAAATATTTTTTTACATTTATATCAAATGTTGCTATAATTAAATATTTTACTCTGCATTCCTCAAATTTGAGATTAGTTTCACTGAACATTAACTACATATTTTTTTGTTGCAAATACTACACTCAATTTTTTATTAGTAAGTTAAAATTTTTGACTTTTTGAGTGTATTAAAATTTGTTGCCCTAAGACTATAAAGCTAAAACTGAATTTAACTCCTAATACTTATATGTGAAAAATTAATAAATGTTTTTTAAAAATTGTGCAGAAATAAAAAGATATATTGATATTATTTGATATAAATAATTTATAATATTCATCAAATTTCTGTCTCTTCAGATCTCAATTTTTATTTAATTAAATTAAATCATTCTATTTTTATACTAAAAATCAAATTATTGTTAATGTATGTATAAAGCTGGGTTTTTTTTTTATTATATGACTGATTTAAAAATTAATTCATGAGTACAAATTTAATAGTTATATTGAGTATTTTATATTTTAAATGAAATGATCTAAATTAATGTATTTATTTATAAAAAAGTAATACATCCAAGAATATATTTATAAAAAAAGAAAGCAAACATATTTATATTGATGGGATGTTAATCATGTATAGCGGCATTAATAATTTAATGTGTATAAAATGATGTATAAGTATTGAAAAAGCTAAATATTATTTAAAAATGTTTAAAAATTGGTTGAATAGACAAAATGAGGTCCAAATAACAAAACTATTTTAATTATATTTAAATAGCTTATGTACTATATAGTAGAAATAGTAATTTATTTATAAAATTAAGTAATTAATTTAAACATTATTTGAACTATGAACAATTTGATATGCATTGTATTGTATATACTTCTAGCTACATTTGAATAACTGTAATTATTGTCTGTATTTATGTAATATCAAATTTGTTAAACCTCCCTAAAATTAACTTAATCCAATATTAATGTCAATAGTATCAATTATAAGTTTTGTAAATGTTCCATTAAATCAAACATTTTTATGATAAATCATATTCAATAATCATGGAATCATTTTTTCTGGTCAATATTTTTGTTCCTTTTTTAATTTTTACTTGAAATTATACTCTACATTTTTTGTAAACATTAATTTCGTTTTTTGAATTAATTATGACTTATTTAGTGTGTTTATAAATAGTTTATTTATTACTAATTTAGTTCAATTTAACAGATATTAATTTTAATTCAGTTTTAGTTAGCCGACTTATCACTGCCATAATTTTAATGAGTTTTTTCTTGTTACACTTAAGTACTGATTTTAAGTGTAGTTTTTATTTATTTTTTTTTAAACTATATTTAATAATGTGTTCAATAGTCATCATACAATAACATATATAATTTATTAATGAAAGTGTTATTACTCTTTCATTATGAACATATAAGTGATTTAATATTATAAGTTATAATTGTTCTCATTTAGTTCAAATTATGTATTCATTTTATTTTAATAATTACTGCATCTATTACCATAATTTTTAAATCCAATATTTTAAAAATAATATATTTATGTATGTTTAAACTATAATGCTGGTGTTATAATGTAGCTAATTTATTTATGTCATTTTGATGTTTTTGACCAATATTGGTTAATATGTATTCATATATCAATGTATAAAATAGTTGATCTCATAATTATTTTATTTTTCAAATGATAAAATTATATAAATTGTAATGTAATAAATTCTAAATAAATGTATTTACTATAATTTTTTATAGTTATCTTAAAACCTATAATACTGCTTGATAAATATATTTTGATATATTATAATATGAAAATATTACTTTGATTAGTTCTAAAATGTAATAATTGGAATTTGCTTAATGTATCTACAAAAAAAGGTTTCAATGATTTTGTATTAGTACACTGTAAGTGTATAGCTAAAATTCTAATAAAACATTGATTTGAACTATGAATTTCAAATAGATGAGATAACCTTGTGAGTGTATAGTTCATTGTTACTTCTTGAAACAATAATCCATTGAGATTATACGAATTAGTATCCATCATATATAGTGTTGAATAAGTAAGGAAATGCATTTCTATATTATTTGTAAAAATTTACCTGTTTCCTTACTCACTGAACACTCTGTATATCAGAGCTACGTTTATGAAGAATAACAGAAAACTGACGAATTGGGAGGTAAAGAACATCATAATTAGTGCAGAATAGTCCTGTTTTTAATAGTGCATAGTTGTGTATGTTCTTATGTTGACAAAAATATGTTTTAAATTGATAAAAAAAAAGTTCATATCAATATAAACTATTATTATGATAAGAACTATTATCATTTTATCAATGTTGACTGTTAACGCTTTGAATATGCCTAATGATGTCATTATTAAATATTATTTCAAAATATGTATTTGTTTGATAATTTTGTTAACTTATAAAAGTACTATTATAGAAATATAAGTGTCATTTTCTCTATCTTATCCGTGCATACGTGTAAAGTAATTTTTTTATTCAAATATTTTGCGTAACAATGGGTCTCCTATAAAACATTTTTTAAATAAGTTTATTTGTGGAAAAACTATTATAATGACTAGTTTAAAACTAGAGCTTGACGAATATCTCAGCAAGAATCAAAAGAGTGTAGGTAGCAATGGACATGTGATTATTCCTAAAGTTATTAAAAAATTCATTAATGGCGAAATCAGTGAACAAACTGAGAACTTGTTGGATGGATCTCAACAAAGTTATATATCTTTTCCAACATTGGTAAGGTGTGTTTATTAATTGGTTAATTTATTAATTTATTGACAAGCTAATAATAAATAATTGAAATCATGTTATAGACCAAAACTCAAAGAATATTAGGTTTTATGATATGTGTATGTATTAGTTGTTTAATGTTTTCTCTGTCGGCTTTGTATTTGCCAGTACTGTTATTGAAAGCCAGGAAATTTGCTATTTTTTATTCTACTGGAAGTATTTTTGCTTTTGTAAGGTAAGTTATGTTTTTATAAAAGTCCCTCGACTAATGAATATGAATCAATAAATTAAATATATATATATATTATATTATTAATATTGGAAATAAATGTAAGTAAAGAAATGTTTCTGTAATAATGGCTTAATTATCTATAATAATAAACCAGTATTTTTGCTTGGAAAGGGCTAAAAACCTTTCTTTTATTTTTTGACTTTTAACATGCTCTTATTTATGCCATAGTCATAAATTATTTACAGGAATAATTTACCTCTCTAAAATTATATTTTTATAATAAAACATAGTTTTTTTGAAATATTGGAGGGCTAAGCCTATCCAAGCTTCCCACATGGCACCTATGATCTTAGATACAATTATCATCATGGCTAAAGGGAGCTTAGACCCCCAATTCATATAATTGTATATATCAATATATACAAGTATTTTTTAGAGGGAAAAAAATAAAATTAGCATCCTATCAAATACAATTGAAAATTTTATTATAGTTGTGCCTATTTTTATAATGATAATAATAATTATTATTAAGTAATTTAAAAATGTTTTAGTGTATCATTTTTGACTGGACCATTGAATCATTTCAAATTTATAACATCCAAGGAAAAACTTCCATTTTTACTCAGCTACATTACAACACTTTTTTGTACTCTATATTTTTCATTATTCATGCAAAGTACTCCTTTTACATTACTGTCATTAACTTTTCATTTAATACTGATTTTTTATTTTCTATTAAACTCTATACCGTTTGGACAAAAAGGTTTATCATTTTTTGGACGTGTTTTTACTTCTGCAGTTAGAAACAAAGTGTCAAATTCTTTGCCTGTTTAAATAAAAAATTAATTTTTTCTTCTATTTTTTTTTATTTTTATTGTTGATTACTATTTTTAAAAAATTTTGTAATTAAATTATTATTTTTGTATTTTAAATATGTATATTTGTATTACTTAGTAAAATAAATTGTAATATTATTACTATTACTGTTTTTTTATTCATAACATATTTTTTTAGCTTTTTGTTGGAATCTAATTTTTTTTTTATTGCCTTAATTTTGAATTAATTGTTTAAGATAAAATTAAATAAATTAAAATTCAGTATATTTGTTTTATTTTTAAAATACATTTTGATTGGTTAGCTCAAAATTTGATAACATAAATTATTTAATTAATTTAATTGATTCATCGGAATTTGCTTAGTATAATTAATTGATTAGGTTGAACATTTTATTTACTATTCTTTAATGTGATTTTTCACACTATTATTTATTCTTATAACTATTATCTTAAAATTGTCTCATTTATAATTGACTTAGACTCATAATTATTGGCTAAAGTTAAATGAGCTTGAATCATGAAATATATATATTTTTAATTGGACAGTTATAACCACCTCTCCACTACATGGTTAGCATTTCGCGACATAGGCGCTCGTTGCGGCGATATGGATAAAGAGCGGTACTTCAAAGTTCATTCTAAAAACAATAATAATATAATAGTTATGCTTGAATTCAGTGCGTTATCGTATTGCATTGTTAGTAAAAATAATAAAGGTAACTACGCGATTACACGCTGTTTATTTCGAATAGACATTAATTAATTTTAATCTGTTAATTTATCCGTGGTAGTGATACAGTATTTATAAATATTGGTGGCAACGTTTTACGGGTTTCCAGGCGGTACATCCGCTATTTACTTTAAGATTTTGGAAGTTGTTGATAAATATTCATTTTATAAGGTAGTATTTTCAGAAAAAAATTTGCTGCGTGTGTTATGGCAAAGCTTGCAGAAAGCCACGATAACGTGGTATGCATATCGCCAATAGAATCGCTGAAAATGTTAGCGTTTTCACTTGTTTGGGGTTTGTGGATAGTACTTAAAGACAATTTGAATAGACTCGTGAATGCCGTAACACGTACTTCAGTAAATGGTAAATACGGACAAAACAACAGAAGAGACAGCCCTCCATCATGTTTGACGAGCACAGTTTACGGAACACATTCGAACGCCAAAATCAAGGTAAATATCGTTTAAGTAGTCTCGAAAGACAATGCACCTAGATTTCGATATGATGAGCTTACTTCAAAGGATCTAAGATAAAGTAATCACGGACGCTTTCTGAAAAGTCCTAATTACATTTCAGACTTTGTTTTTCTCTTTTATTGGAAATAACAACATATAATCATGATATATCCAACAGGTGCTAATGAAATGTGTGTGTTTTTAAATATTACTCATTGCCGTCCGTTTTGATAAGACTAGTGCCATTACTGTCAAATAATGTTACAACAATGGTTTTCAAATAATAATAAGTTTGATAATTGGTTTTATTTTGTTTATTAAATAATTTTAGATATTTATAAATATTACTTGAGAGAAAAACCTATTTAAAGTTAATTAATAAGTCTACCTTAATAAATAAAAAATGTTATCTTAACTTTACTTCGATAATATTGGAGGTAAGGCTAGTTGAAGTAGTTATCTAATGATACTATTTGCATAACATACAGAGTAATTAATTTATCATTGAACTTTAGATTTCTTCTAAAATAGTAATAATTTAAATAAAATTTTTTGTTTATAATTGTGACTTATTAATATAAAATAGTATTTATTTTTCGATTTTTGAATGGTTAAATAATTTTTATTTGGTAACATATATATTTAACTAGTTCAATAATAGAAAATTACCCAACTAAAAAAATGACAGGTTGCTAATAACTTTTTAACTAATAGTTCAGGAGTTATGAATACTTTTATACCTGGTTGGGTAGCGTGATGCGTTACGATAAAAATGCATACACCAGTCTACATTTAAAAATGTTAATAACTCCCGAAATACTGATTCGAAAAATTATATCGACCAGGCATTTTATCAATTGAATTTTTTTGTGTTATATAAATAAGTTAAATGTCTGAGTCGCCATTTACAAAAATAAAATTGTACCCTTATAAGGATAAGAGATATAACTAAAACATATTTAACAACTCAAAAATGGAGAAATCAAAAATATTAAACAAAATAAAAAAATTGTTTTATAAACGAACGATAAATCAATCACTCTGTATACTTCCTAATCAATTAACGAGGATTATTAAATTTAGAATTCACATAAATGTTTTTATCAATTCATTTTACACGGGAATGACAAAACAATTATTTATTTTATTTTTTTGTCAGTAATATACTGTGTATAAAACATAATTGCTAATGAGGCACAGGTTCAAATTCGAAAAATGATGATTAGCTTTATAGACTATACGATTTATTATATAAATATAAAATTAAGTGTAATATAAAGTGTAGGTAAACTGGAATTCTCCAAATTTCTCGAGTAAATTAAATCATTAATTATTTATTATTATTTTAAAATTAAATATTAAGATGTATAATGTAAATATTATATGATTAAATTAAAAGATATAATAAAAATCTAGTAGAAATTTTTTTTCGATTTTTAATAAGACAAAAATTACAGTAGTAATCAATTACGGTTAATGACAGTAACCTATAATATTATGAACGTCATCTAAAAAAAATGGTAAACCTTGTATTATTTACATTTTGTCGGTGTAAACATTTTTTGGTTTATTTTTTTTTCTTTGTTTAAATTCACTTATGAAATAATTTTATGATTTTTAAAAATAAATAGTGATAACATTTATAATAAACTTAATCGATAAATTATCATATTCTTTTTATAAAAACATAATTTATTTTTAGCTTCTAGGAGAAGCTGGGAAGGTATTAATTTTACTATGTCTTTTATATTTTTTGTGTCTGCTATCACTTTTTCAAAGCTCCACCAAATTAACTATACGCCAAAAGATCCAAATTTTATCTACTTTAAGATATTATCCTTCAAATATTGAAAACAATTTTCATTGTTCCCCGTTAATAGGAGAAATCCCCCCAAAAAAATACAAATTTAAAAATCAATAATTTTCAAAATTTTTAAAACTTTCATTTACTTAAAACTACCATAACATTTTCAAAAATGTATGGATTAAAACAATTTTTATTATAGATACCCTAGATATTTACCTACCATTTAGTATATTATTTATGATAATTTGATCTTTTACCTGACACAGGGGATTTTAAAATGCGAATTCCTCAAAAAATTAACTTTTTCAACTTAACATTTGAAAATGTCTCATAAATACTGACATTTTTGTATATCTTTGATTATAGTTTGTGTTATATACTTTAAATTGAAAAAAGTTGTTTCTAGACTTTTCGTGGTAAAAATGGAACTGTGAAAAAAATTCTTGATTTTATATTTCATAATTTTAACTTTATGTTGCCAGAACTTATTAAAACATGTATGGATCAATACAATTTTGTTTATGAAAAATATTAAATATATATCCCTTTCATTCGACGTACTTTTTTTAAATCTGACTATTTTCCTTTATGCAGGGGGTTAAAACTTTAAACACATGTAAAAAAAAATCGAACTTCTTCATCATAACTTTTTCAAATGTCCCGGAAATACTGACATATATCTTTAGTTAAAGCTTATGTAATAAACTTTGATTTGAAAAATAAAATTTGACCTTTGAACTCGTTTTTGTGGTGAAAACTGACATTAAAAATAAAGAAAAAGTACTATTTTTGTGTACAAAAATGGAAAATTAAAAAAATTTGAATAATTGCTGTGCAAAAGTTTATTTGAAAGTATTTATAAGAAATTAGCAAACTCAATGACGTATTACAAAATTAAATTATTTTTCAATTTGTTAACATTATTGTGTGTACTACCAGTCTATAATATTATAAGTTTTTTGGTGACATGATACTTTACAAATCATTTTTATAAAAATGATTTTTGGTTTCACTTGAATTTAATATAATGGATTTTTATAGTTGCAACAATTTTTTTAATACGTTCAGTGGAATATATTCTTTTAATAACTTTTTGATTGTTTTTTTAGTTAAAGTAAATCATTAAAATTAATGAAGTAGTAATCAATAATAATTTAAAACAAATTATTACTGATATTTCTATAATTGTTCTTTTGTTTGCAAATAATTTTTTTGTACTATTTGGTAATAATCTTAAAAAAGAGATGATAGAAAAAATCTAACTGCAAATTTAAATTTGGCGAAAGTGGGTTTAGAAAAGTATATTTTGGTCTTTGATGAAAATTCCTAGTAGACAAGTGTATTTATACATAAGTAACAAAATTTTTTTTTTTGTTTTTAATTTTATGGAACCCTTTGATTTTTATTCTTATTTGTCAATAAAGTAACGAAATATATAATTACTTTTTTATTTTTACAGTTTCTTCATATAAAATACAATATAAATTTATTGAATAACAATTTTATACTAAATGTAACTATAATAATAAGTATTTATTCATATATTGTACTTATAAACGAAAGAACTACTAATCAGAATATAACTATGGAAATAAATATTCATGATGCTTTAGGAATAATCTACCAATTTTTTAAAATTAACACAATCCAAAGATTTGCACTGAAGAATTTCTTATTGTAATGATTTTAATCACTGCCAGATATTATCTATAGTTGTCTTAACTATGCTACGTTTACACTATAGTACCATATTTTAGCTTCGATGCGAAGCATTAATTTTACTATGATGTATTTTTTTTTTGTGTCTATTACCACTTTTTCTCAGCTCTTACCGAACCATTTTCTTTCAACGATACGTCATAAGATCACAAATCGTATCTAGTCGCAGACATTACCCTCAAAAATTGAAAAAATTTCCCATGTTCCCCGTAAATGGGGAAAATCTCCAAAAAAATTACAATTTTTGAAATCGATAATTTTCGACATTTTCTCAATTTTTTTTACTTAAAACTACCATAACTTTTTTAAAAATGACCAAATCAATATATTTTTTTTATAGATGAATGATGTCTTTACCTATCATTTGGTATATTTTTTTTATAATTCGGACATTTTACATGCCCACAGAAAGGATTCAAAATGACAACTTTTTTACAAAAAATTAACTTTTTCAACTTAACTTTTGAAAGTGTTCCGGAAAGTCTGACACTTTTATATATATCTTAAATTTAAGCTAATGTAATATACTTTAATATGCAAAAAAAAAATTTCGGACTTTATTTTGTCTTCATGGTGAAAATGACTACCGAATGCTATTTTTGTGTTAAAATACTAGATTTTATTTTTTACATTTTTAACTTTATTATGCTATAACTTTTTGAAAAACGTATGGATTAATACAAATTTTTCATGAGAAGTAGTATTTATATAAATCTTTCATTTGACATACTTTTTTTTTTAATAAAACCATTTCCTATTATATATTTATTCATATATTACACTTATTAATCATAAAACTTTATAAATATAAAAGCTTTTGGAATAATCCATCAATTTTTTAAAATTAAACACTATCTATAGATTTGCATAGAAGCGTTTTTTATGATAGTGATTTTAATCACTTTCAGATATCATTATACTTGACGCGACTATGCCACGGCACCACTGTGCCCCGACCCCACTGTGCTGCGTTCTTATGTAAAATGTCTTGTGCGATTATTTTTTTACAATCCAAAAATATATTGTACTAAAATAATTTTAAGATAAAAATAATGTAGTGTATCTACAGAGTAATTACAAAAATTAAAATTTCTACTTGGATGTATAATGAATTCATCAATTTATTTGATAAAGTACTTAAGTTTATTGACTCTATTAAAAACCATTAATTTGCATTTATAATATCTATTAAATGTTTTTACTTTAATTTCTTTCTTATTACTATTGACCTCAAGTTCATTTGACTAAACCTTAAATACTTTGATTAAGTCTATTTTTTAAAAAGTAAAGAAATATATATATTATTTACAAATGATTTATATTTAAGTTATTTATTAAGAATATATTGACTTTAAACTTAAAACTTATATGATTGGTTTTTAATAAGTTCAATAAAAACAGCCATTAAAATATTTTACTTGTTATTAAATGTAAAGTTACAGTAATACGCAATAAATTAATAATTAAACGATAAATTAAATTATTATTTGTGATACTCTGGTTTAGAATTGATAACCTTTTTTTAAGTCAAATGAAAAATAATGTACTATGAACAATTAATTTACTTATTTTAAATTTATAATATCCATAAAAAGACAATGTTGAAATAATTCCATTGGATAATTTTAATTCTATCAGTTTTTTATTATTATTTTTTAAAAATATAACACAGTAACAACATTAATTTTTCTTTATAATGACATCTCTTAATTAAAAATTTATGTAGTATTCTGTGAACAAAGGTTTTTAATAGGATAAAGATATACACATTTTAATGATTTGTAGTTTGACTTAACACAAGTAGATTAGTTAGTAATAATGAATTAGTTAGGTGTCACTTCAACACTGCCAAAAATTTACACCACTAATATATTCATTATCACAGGAAATCGCATTTTAAGTTACACATGACCTTTCAAGACTTGATCACTTATTCTATATTAGCATGACACTTTTTTATTTACTTAAATAAGGAATAATAATCATAATTTCATCAGATTAAAAAATTGTTTTTAGCTTCGATGCGAAGCTGACAAGGTAAAATTTTACTATGTGTTTTTTTTTTGTGTCGCCACTTTTTCTCAGCTCTCACTTGACCGATTTCGATGAACAACATGTCAAAAGATCACAAATCGTATCAAGTTGAAGACATTACCCTTGAAAATTGAAAAAAATTCTCTTGTTCCCCGTAAATGGGGGAAATTTCCAAAAAATTTACAATTTTTGAAATCGGTAAATTTCGTCATTTTTTCTTAAAATTACTATAACTTTTTCAAAAATTAACAAATAAACTTAATTTTTTTTTATATTGAAATTTTAGATATTTCCCTTTCATTTGATATCATTTTTTTTGAAACAGTTAACCAGCTCATAGGGAGAAATTTAAATTGGCAACTTTTTTACGAAAATTAACTTTTTCTACTCTACTTTTGAAATTGTTGCGGAAACACTGCGTCCTTTAAACATATATCAAATTAAAGCTTATGTCATGTACTATAAAATGAAAAAAAAAAAATTTGGCCCGACGACATATTTTCTATGTGCAAATAACTGTCGTTAAGGCTAAATTAAGGCTTATATTATATATTTTACTATAAAAAAAATAATTCGAAATTTAGATTTTTTTCTTGGTGAAAATGGCTTCGGTATTCAAAAATATGCTGTTTTTTTGTTTTGTATTTTATTTTTAAATATCTCACAAGANAGTTAAAAACATGCTATTCTTGATTCTCGATTTTATATTTCCAAGTTTAAACTGCTATAACTTTTAGAATAATGAATGTATCAACACAATTTTTTTTTCTAAATACATTATATATACTTATTTCATTTGACATACTTTTTATTTAAATTAGACAATTTTCCTTTATACAGATGGTATTCAAAACTTGAAACATACATGTAAAAAACTTTTTCAACTTAACTTTTGATAATGTTCCGGAATTACTGTGTTCTTTAAAAATATGTCAAATTATAGCTTATAATAAATACTATAAGTTCAAAAAAAAATTTGTCCCGACACCTTTTCTTTTATAGAAAAATGGTCGTCCAATTTAACGAAAAATGTAAATTTTATGTAAAAATCAATGTTGAACATGAAATATTTTAATACTTAAAAATGCCATACATTTTTGAAAAATGAACAAATTAAAATTATTTTTTATTTATATTGAAACCTCAGATATTTTTATTTCATTTGATATAAATTTTTTGAAAATCTGACTCTAAACCTGCCTGCAGGGGAATTCAAAAAAATAATTTTGGCACGCTAGTTAAGCTTTTTCAATTTAATTTTTGAAAATATTACGAAAATATTGACCCTTTTATTTAATCTAAAATTAAAGCTTATATTGTTATTTAAAATAAAGTTCAAATTAAGAAGTTAAAGTTATTTAATTTTTTTGCTTTTTTAATGTCAAAAAGTAACTTTTATTTAATCTTAAATTAAGGCTTATATTATATATTTTACTATAAAAAAAATAATTCGAAATTTAGAGTTTTTTCTTGGTGAAAATGGCTTCGGTATTCAAAAATATGCTGTTTTTTTGTTTTGTATTTTATTTTTAAATATCTCACAAGAGGAATAAATTAACTTTCATGAATATTATATAATTTAATTGACATAGATTAAAGATAACACATAAGAAGTTAAACTTATTTAAATTTTTTTGCTTTTTTATATGAAAAAATTAACTTTAAAATATAAATCAGCTTAAATTGCCAATTTTATTAACCGACAAAAGCGACAAACAGTTTCCGAATCGGGAAACATTAGTGTCTTTCACGGTTAGGATACCAGGTTTGAATTCGCCTGTGGCAATTAATATTTTGCATTTTTTTTAAGTTAGAAAAATGTTGAAATCATTTAATTATTATCTCATTTAGATTCATTAACTTCAATAAATATCAAGGATTCCATCACTGTAGTCTCCCCTCATGAGAAGAAATTTCTTATTCGTGTTAATATTATTTTATGTTTTTTTTTGTGGCTGCAATTTATTTTTCCAACCCTCAATTAGCCTACTTTTTTCAACGATATGTCAAATTATAACAATGCTTTTTTATTTGAAGATACTACCCTCAAAAATTGATAAAAATTTTTTTAATTAAATAAAATGTAGCTTAACCAGCTTTATCCATACAAACAATTAAAATCATTTATTTCTAATATTTTTAATGTATTTATTATCAAATTAAATTTGATATGATAAAAGATTCAACTACAAAACTAAATAATTTTACATTGTGATTTATTAATTTTTTAACTCTATTTGTGTGAGTTACTAACAGTCTATATAATTCCATTTTTTTTGTAACATATTATATAAATCAAAATCTAAAAAAAAAAATGATTTTTAGTTTCATCTGAATTTAACAATGGATTTTTACTATTATAATCAATATATATAATATGCTCAATTGAGTAGATCTTTTTAACAACTGTTAACAAAATTGTAAGTTGAGCTAAAAGTTATGGTAATAAATTCATTTTTTTTTTTAACTTTCCCTTATAGGACAAAAATATGTTATTTAAAAATACTTAAAATAATTAATTGTACTTTTAGCATATTAAAAATCAAAATCAATAATAATTTGAAAATAATAAATTATAAAAATTATATAATTAAAAAATTTTATATTATACTTTTGAATCTAAAAATTACTAATCTGAATATAATTAAGGAAATAGAAGTTGATTTTTTAATTATCCACCAATTTCTTAGAATTTAACTATCTACAGATTTGCATTAAAGCGTTTCTTATGGTAGTGATTTTAATCACTGTCAGATTAAATCTATACTGGACCCAACTATGCCGCAACCCCACTTTGCTGNTGGTTAAAGATCTACTCATCTTTTTCAACAATTTTTTTAATGGTTTTTTTAGTTAATGTAAATCATTAAAATTAATTCAGTTCTGCATATTTCAATTGTAGAATCTTTTTAAACACCAAAAGTTAATTAGAAATTATTACTAAGATTTCTATTACGATAGAAATGCAAAAAAAAATAAAAAATCGAGCTTTTCTGATAAATTTACTGTAAATAGTAATTATAAAATTTTCTGACTGCATGTTAATCTTAACAATTTCATTTCTTTCTATTTAATGATGTCGATTTTAAACTTGTAAGTTGAGCTAAAAATTATGGTAATAAATTCATTTTTTTTTTTTTTTTGATTAACTTTCACTTTACAGGACAAAAATAATTAAGTTAAAAATGATTACTTTTAACATATTAAAAATCAAAATCAATAATAATTTGAAAACAATTAATTATAAAAATTATATATTATATATTTGAATCTAAAAATTACTAATCTGAATATAATTAAGGAAATAGAAGTTGATTTTGTAATTATCCATCAATTTCTTAGAATTAAACACTATCTACAGATTTGCACCGAAGCGTTTCTTATGATAGTGATCTTAATCACTGTCGGATTAAATCTATACTAGACACAACTATGCCACTTCCCCCTATACTGCGACCCCTCTGTGCTGGTTTTTTTTTTAATCAAAATAACACATTTTGCACTAGTATTTCTATCATTATTCGTAAAAATTAAAAGAATTGTTTAATTTATTTAAGAAAAATTACAAATAATAAGAATCGATTTAAATGTATTTATCTCTTATGTTATAGGGCGTTAAGTTTCATTATGTTGAATGTGGAGATCCTAATAATGCAGTTGCACTTTTATTGCATGGATTTCCATCTTGTTGGATTAGTTGGCATCAACAAATACCAAATTTATCAACTGATTTTCGGTAAAATAAGGTTTTATAAACAATTGTACAATTTTAAGCTAATTAACTTTTAATATAACACGATGTAAATTATCTTGTAAAAATCATTTTAATACATCAAATGCTTTATATGTATATTTATAAAGACGAAACCGTGTTAAATCATTATCTCTTATTATTTATAATTTGGTAACACTACGTCGTTTTGTTTTTTATTTGTTAAGTTTATCTCAAAATTCTTTTATAGTGTTATCGCTGTCGATCTTAAAGGTTTTGGCGATTCCGATAAACCATCTTCCCGAAAAGGTTACCGAGTGGAAAGCTTAATAAATGAGCTTTTAATGTTTTTATCGTCATTAGGCGTGGATGCCAATAGTAAATGTCACATAATTGGTCACGACTTAGGAGCACTTTTGGGATGGTACTTAGTACATCTAAGGCCAGAGTATGTATCTAAATTCGTGTCTATTTCTTGTCCTCATCCCAACGTTTATTGGGAATATTTGCCGACTTCTAGTTTTTTCAATAAAAAGTATGTATTTACTCAAAGTTATTAAATTATATAGTTATGTCTGAAATATTAAATTACAGCTGGATTTACTTTAGCCAACTGCCGTATTTGCCTGAAATGAATGCTTTGCAGAGCGATTTAAAAATAATCAATCAATGTTATCAGCATTTGTCTAAGTCAAAAGAAAAAGACGACATGGATTACATTGACGCATACAAGTACACATTTTCAAGAACAGGTATTGAACTCAATATTTTTAATTTGTTATAAAAACAATTGCTTAAAAATTAGGATTGGACTTACCGTCAACAAAGTAGTTGAAATTTATTAGATATTAATAAAATATATTATAGTTGAACTATTTTAAGTAAAAGTCTAATTACAGTTTTAATATTTCATAAAAAAACAATAATTTTTTAACAAAAACTTTCTTTTTATTATGTTAATAAGATTTTAAATTATTCTTTATACTGATTTTTAAGATACAAAGGTTTAGAAAAAAGTAGTAGAAAAAGTTTAAAGGATATTTGATGAGTTTTTAAATCAATTTGAATTATCTTAAACGTTTACATCCTTACAGTTGTATATTACTTTATCGTGAAAATATCATCAATTTTATCTGAATAAATAAAAATTATTTTGAAAATCATTTTTATTAAAACTTTTGTTGATTAGAGGATTGGACTGGCGCTATAAATTACTTCAGAAATCTGCCGTTTTATCGAATAGAAACATCTACGAGTAATAACAATAATCAAGATGTCTTAAACGTTCCGTGTTTGCTAATTGTTGGCAATAATGATGAAAACGTTAAGATGGAAAGTGTTATAAAGTCAACAGAGTACTTAAAGACATTTACCATAAAAATAATTGATAACTCTTCACATTTCCCTCATCAAGAACAGCCAGTGGCTGTCAATAAAATTTTAAAGTCATTCTTAGGTAATTAAACTATACAAGATAGTTTATGTGAATTTCGCCGTGTTGTTTTGATATTATATCATTCGCAATTTTATAGCAAAATAAAAAATGTTTATCGTTTTTATTTTATTACAGTTCCTATAAGGCCTGTGATAAATGAAGAAACATCTCGACGGACCAATTCAGGTGGGATCGTGGACAGATTCCGAGGATTAGTTACTTCGACGGTTCAAATTGGAAGTTCCTTAAAAGACTCAATGCAAAAGCGAAGAGTTCTCGCATCTCTTGCTTTAAAACAATTAGAGTAGTGTTAACGTTTTATTCTTGTAAGATAATTATTTTATTGATTTTAATGTTTGTTGGTCTATAGCTAACCACACAAATAGTAATTTATTGTGCATCTGATTTCATCAAATTTGTTAACTATAAGAATCTATTCAATGAATGATTTTGTTTGCATACTACAGTTAAAGATGCGTATCAACCTCTAACATAATTATGTTATACACTATTGTTGAGATTACTTAGTTAAAACATTTGTTATTATTTATTAGACTTTTGTAAAGAAATGATCATAACCAAAATTGATTTATATGAACTCCAGGTTGATTATGCTTTGTTTACAGTTTTTATTAGTAATTGTACATTGATAATTAATTTAACTGCGCGTAATTTATTATTCGATGTCTACGTTGAATGTGTAAAATGTTTGTACCTCTTATATTGTTACATATTTTTTATGTCATTCAATCTAAATTATAGATTTATTTTTTAAACTTATTGCACACAAAATATATTATTGTGATTGTTTAAATTACGTGTGTTTTATTTATTTTATGATTTATTAATGCATTTTAACTGTTTGTACCCGTGTAAATTAACATAATTACTAATTAACAATAACTATCGATAGTTATATAGGATAGAAAGATCTATCTGGTATAGAATACCTGACCTATAAAACCTCAAAATTATTAAGTGAATTATAGTTATTTTAATAAAATTCAAATTTTTTTACTTTTTGGGTCCCTTTCAGAATATTGCAAATTATTGTTTTGTGAAATGAGTATAAGAACTTGATTAAATAGATGATTATGAAAGAGTTTTGCTAAATACGATTTTAAAATGAAAAATCAATCATAGTGTAGATTCAGTTTATCGTTACAAATTACGACGGAGTGTTGAAGTTTTCGTATTTTTCCAGTTCAAAACTGTTTTGATAAATCAAATGAAATCGAAAGGACTTATTGTACTCTCGGTAGTTTTTTTATTAATGAAGATGCTAGACAGTTTATCGAGGAGATTTCGATCATGTCTGGCTTGTAGTCCCGTTTTAAACGGTATTCTAGAGTTGAAGATGATCAATGGAGCGTTTACCACGAATTAATATACATTGATAATCCTAGCGAACCAACCGTCAAATCTAACGTGTAAAATGTTTCTGTGTGCAATGACTTGTGTATTTTGTTTTTTTTTTGTGTCAAAGAAGATCATTTCGATTGTTACAGACAACATCTCCGGCTCGACGGCGTCATCGGAGTAGACGCGGCGACACTATTAGTGGTTTTCAATGTTTGTGCTGTTTAATCCGAACACGACTGCTTCGAGTCGGATAATCTGTCACGGCGCAACATATCAATTAATACGTCACGCTGACCAACTTGGAGAGGATTTATGTCATTCGGTATCCAAGTCGTCAATTAGCTGTTGGACGCGGAGCTTTATAAGAGCCCGCACAGAATTCGACTTGACAAGAAGGGATGTATTATTTTATCGTAATAGAGTGTGGTCGGATAAAAAACCACCACGAGTTATCTCACTCTTAAAATTTTAAGACGATGTTTGTATCAGTTTAATTATAATTATCATATATTATATTTACTATAGAGAGAAACTATAAATATTGCAGATTTTTTTTTTTTTTTTTTGACAAATTTTATGTGTATACTTTAATAGATTTATGAAAGGTGGTTCCCATTGACTTTTTTTATGGTAAATGATGAATTTTAATATTATTTACAAAAATATATTGATGTACAAAATTGAAAAAGTGAATGAAATGAATTTATTCGTAGAAAAATAATAGATATCAAGTAGTTAGATTTTAAGGAATTAAGTAAGTTAAAATTTAAAAAAATTAACAGCAATTATTAACTTTTTAAAGATTTGTACATTCTATAAAAAATAAAAAAGTCGTTAACAGTTTTTACAGGCAGGAGCAGAGTCATTTGAGGGCAGTGACTCGTTTTTATTTTTAGTAGCTAATGACAATTATGTGCTTTGATGACTTAAACCAGTGGAATTTCATTGATATCCTCAACAAAAACCTAATTGTGAAAAAGGGTTGAGTTACAACTCTCCTCTTCTCGAAAATGTCCGCTTATCAAAGTAGTGACATTTACTAGTGTTTTTTAAAGAATTTCAATGGGTCTAATATAAAAAGCGTAATATCAAGTATAGTAAGATGTATTAAATAAAAATGTACGCACTTAAACAAGTAAGTATAAGTTTATTAATCGGTAGTTTTTTGGGACGATATATTTCATAATTGTTTTATTAATATTTCAACATATTTTTTGAACTACATAGCTGTCACTTGTTGAGATTTAAAAAGGAAGTCAATTTTTTAATACGACAGCTCAGTGGCTATTGTGTGGTTTCTGTAGTATGTTCGAGACAAACAGGCTTCTCGTAGTTATTATATATTTTCCGAGAAACGCATTTCTAAGCCCATTTAAGCAGCCGCACGATATTCATTTTCGGTGTAATCGTTTGTTTTCATTGACCAATGTGCCGTAGTTATGCAAGATGGTTGTATTGTCTACAATTTGTCATAAGATTTCTAATTTCGATTGCAATAAATGTATTCTACGGACGCTTTCGTGCAGCGCAGTGGTGTTTTCTTCTTTAAATCTATTGTTCAGCTGAGATAGTAACGGGTTTTTCCGAGTTCTTTTCATCGTCGTGTCGTGGTAGCACGTGAAACTTAGTATGACATACGAGCGAATAGTTTCGTCGTTGAAACATCACAGTAATTGCATCCTCAAAAGACTGATCGATTTTATTGTGTGCTCTGCCTGTGCCGTATTGAGTAATGGAGAAGTACAACGGCTGTTCGCGGGGTTGGTTTTGATAGTGAAATCCGACCAATAAGAGCGACTGCCGCCGGATGCGAGACCGAATAATAACGCGCGTTACAGAGTAGTGAAGTTAATAACCGGAGACAGCACAAACGAGACCGTCGCGAGAATATTAACTGCAATGCCGACGGGGAGAAGACGGCGGAGGACGTGCTGTATTATAACGGCGGGACAACGAGTAGCACAAAAGCCCCATGTGGTTCAATCAAATTTCATTTATGGCACGATTTCCCCTCGATCGTGTCACCATCGACTCTGTCGCGCACTTTCGGCCATTGTGCACGTTATACATTGCCACGTAAGTACGTTATGAACGTCAACGACTCGCCGAAAAAAACCAATAGGCCAACAGAGGGAGGAAAAATGCATTGAACAGTATTAATGTAAAACTGTATTGAGTTACCATTGAGTTCATAAGTCTGTCAAAATAGTCTTTACATTACAAATGTCTCATAACCTATTGAAAATTTTCACACTTGGAGAGACGTTTAATGTTAATTCGGTTGTAATTTACAACTTGCTGTTAAAAAATATAAGTCGGTTGTTAACTTTAGAGACGACTTTATTGTAATATTTCTTTTATCAAAAACAAACAATAGTTATTAGTTATCGTCGCCAATCAATGAATGATTTCCACTTTAATTCCAAACTTGATAAAGATTCTATAAACAATTTAAAAAAAAACGTTTATCTTATTATTATACAGAGTGAGTCACAATGATATGACAAATTCAATAACTTTTGATTCCATTAATAATTTATTCGTTTGGCTTAGACCCCAAACGAAGAATAGCCTTCCAAAATGTTAGAAAATTATATACTATATAACATAAAACATTTTTAGAGTGCGATGAAAATTAATTTAGGATCTCCAAAAGTTTCCCCTAGTGCGCTTTTGGGTGTAGCACTTGTATTAAATATTACACATTAAAAATTAGTTGACGTTTTTATTTGATTAATGTAGAAAAATGAATATTGTTGCCGGTTAAGCAACAGACACTCAAACGCAGTTTATGAATAGCGACATGTCATATGAAAACGGTAATTAATAAACTATAAAAAAACTATACATATTTAAAAATGAGACATAATATTTTTATATTTTTCAAATTTAAATTTACAATTTTTTCAATTCACAAAATATTAATGACTTTTAAAACGTTTAAATGATGACATATTGTTCGTATTAATAGATAAACTAACATCATAAAATGATATTAGATGTCACATAATATGCGACATAATATTTTATAAACGTTTATGTTCTTTCCAAATGTAGCTCTTTATAAAAAAAATTGAAACGAATGTTCCTTGTAAGTGCAAATGTTGGCGAGTTCTGATGTAGCGTTAATTTTAATAAAGTTTTTATGTATGTCGGACATAGAACTAATGTTATTGATAAGTATATTGAATTGTATTAACGTTAAGAAAACTATTTAATAAACTGTTTGACGGAAAGTGTTGTTGCAAATTTGGTTTAACAGAATTGGCTCCTAATTATCAGTCGATTTGTACAACGAAAAACTGTCGTTAACAACGTTTACAGTTCAATAATTCGTCTCGGATAACATTGTAATGGACGTGGAATATTGTTTTTTTATTTTCATTTTTGCCACTTGTTATTTCTCATCCACTCAAATAAACCACTGCCGAGTGCAATCGTACGAATAACCTGCTCTTTGTCGATTAACGAAATCATGTGGCCTTCTTGGAAAATATCGTTACTGCATTAATATTCCAGGCGACGAGTTAACGACTGCCGTTGTCAACGGGAAGGGTACACACCACGACCCGGCAGATTATCATGCAAATGAAATGGGCGTGGGTTTGTGAAAAAGGGTCGCGTCGATTTTGGACCGATTCCGGTGTGTTGTACACATTATAGGGGGTTCGTTTTCGTGCCATTTCTGCGTGTCGCGCACATAAAAATACACATGGCGCATATGTGCGAGGTATAACAATAGTAATAATAACGATAATGACGGCGGCGGCGGCGGCGACGACAAATTGCTCCGGGACGGCGACTACTACGCACGCCTTGTACCCTCGCGAAGTGGAGGCGAAGGGCTGCCGGCGACGGGTTAACGGAATTGGATTGGGAAAAATAAAAAAAAGTAAATTACGCCGTCTGCGATGATTAAAACGCTTGCATATTATGGACACAATAGACGTGCGGATTTTTGTCGACACCTCCTCTCGCGCCGCAGTTCCCCCCCCGCCGTGGGGTTCGCATTATGCGTGACGCCATTTTAGATCCGCCGCTGCTACCGCTTTTGTTCAATCGTCCCGGGGGACGTGTTCTCTCCGGCTCATTCGGTATTCCCGTCGGTCGTCGTGACAAACGAGAGCCACTCCATTACGGCAATGGGTTTTCTTTTCAATAGCAGTTTTTCGCATTATGTTACTCGTCAAGGGTTCGCTTTTCTCCTTGCGCTCCACTCACTCGTTTCTTCCTAAAGTATTTCTCTCTTACAACGCGACTTGGGAAAAGTTCAATAGGATATATACCCACCCCTCAATCGTTATAGTTGCGCGTTCTTTATAAAAAGATTGTGAACAAATTGAAAATCCTACAAAGGGTATTTTATTTTCGACTAGAAATTTTTGTTGATTTTATTAGTTTTCACGTTTCGTAAAAAAAATAGTTTAT